GTCCGTGGGATTCGAACTCTAGACCTGCCGCTTGGGGGTGCAGCAACCCCACCACTTCACTAGGTCGCCACACCCCAGCTAACTATTATTTTCTATTTAATCTAAATATAATTTACTATATTTTAAATATAGATTTTGTAATACTTTAGATTTAATAGCAAATCTAAAACTACTTTATCCTCAAGATAAACCTAATAAAGTGATACATATTCTATTTATATATTTATCTATATTTTTAGTAATTTATTTCTAACTAGTATCTATTATACTACTATTACTAGGTTCATATCTTTTAAAATATAGCTATAACCTAGTTCATATTTCAAGCCACAACTTTTTTATTTAGTCGTTAGTTATTTACTTTTGCTTTTGTAAAGTTTATATAACTTTAATATTCATATTTAGATATTTTTTTTTTAGATTTTTTACTAGTTTCTTTTTTACTTTTAACCAACAACTTGAAAAAGTTGGTTTGCTTAGACTTTAAATATCTTATAGTTTTTCTTTTTCTAATATATACTTTCAGAGTATATATATATTTTTTTAATTTGGTAATCTAATAATTTGGTTAATATGTCTCTTTATTCAAGAATCTGATTACTCAATTCTCTAGTTTTAATCTCTGGTTTCAAATTTGGTCTTTTTGTAATATTATTAAAGATTATACTATTTTCCAACTTGAAGCTTGTTAAACAAGTTTTTGATTATTTTAGTTCCTTAGATTTATTGTATTAGAGCTCTTATTTTAGATAGTATAACTAAGCTTACAAATTACTAGATTTAACCAATTATCAAATAGCTATTAACTATATCACAAGGCTATTTTTCAAAAACTTTGTTTATAAGATTTGAATTCTAAACTTGCTATTTAGAGTTACAACAACTTCACTACTTTACTAAATCATTACACTTTAAAAAAATTTTTTTGAAGAACTTTAATAATTGTTTTATAAATAAAATTTTAAAATATTATTAATTTTTAATTTTTTTTTTATTTTTGTTAAAAATTAACAAGGTATAAAATCGATTTTTTAGTTAGAGCAGTGTTATTTATTATCTGATTTTTTTTTATCAAAAGTATACACACTCTCTCTCTTCTTATTATATATTTAATTAGATTTTCATATATAATTTTAACTTTTTGTTTACCCCCCTTCTTTTCTAAAAAATCATCTGATTTTTGTTACTCTTTTTATGTGATTTTTTAATATTATATAAAAAAATTTATTTATATTAGAATTTGGGTTAGAGTTTATATTAGAGTTTGGGTTTGAAAGTTATAATATAGTAAAATTGCACAAGAAAAATTTTTGTTAAAACCAAAAAGATTTATTTTTTATCATAAATATAAATTTTACAAAGCAAACATTTGTTTTGATTTTCTTTACATTACACCTGATCTCAGTTTTTAATTGGCTTTTCTATTTAGTTTGTGTAACTATGTGTTTAATATCCCGTGTAAATTGGCTTTTCTATTAACCAATTATATTGTATAAGTACTTTCAATATATATATGGGCTAGAAGCTATAAAAAAAGACAAAATTAACAAGAACAAAGATCTTTAGAAAATCAATTTTTATGTTGTAAATCTTATAATAAATCATAAGAAAATACAAACTTTAAGAAGCTATATTGCATATATATATACTGTATTTTATATCTGATATATACAACTATATTCTCGTTAAGAATTTTGAATTACGAAATTATTAAACTTTAACTTGATATAGTAAAATATAATATTCTTTCGATATAAGCTATAGTTAAGATTTTTTTTCAGCCCGATGATTTCACTACGTATAATAAGAGTGAATTGTAATTACAGTATAATTAGAGTTTGTAACTATATTTAAAGAGAGATTTATATATATATATATATATACTAATAAATTAATTTAACCATCTCACCAATAGTATAAAATAATTTCACCAATATAATTTTATTTCACCAGCATCTTTAAATGATATTGCAAATGACAATTATATAAGTAATATATTATTACCACGGATGATGCTGAAATTGAATTAAACCTATTTAATGTACTGTACGATTTTAATATTTTTGGGTAAGTTTCTTATAGATTTATTTTATTTAGATTTAGGACTTTAGTAGGGTTTATAGCTTTAAATTAAGGCCCCAGATTTCAGCATCATCCGCGACATATTGATAAGACTCAACTATCAATAATACCTCGATATTGACAAGATCATAAAGCGTTACCTGAGATTATTCTTTTATTGAAATATTAGAAAAATCCAAAGTCCGGTGGAGTTCCAGATTTCAGTCAATAATATCGTATTACCGATTACGATTTATGTTTTATAGCGCTAATTAAAAAACCTTAATGCGAATTAAAATATTGTAACACTTCTCATTGATCTAAATACATTATTTGAGTACATCACCTACGTACTAGATCTCTAATGATATAAAGTATATTTGACGTTACACACTAAAGTATGACTCAATATATATACAAAAAAAAAAACTCTTTGTAATGATCAAAAGCTTTATGCGTGAATTACATTATAAGAAATCGATCAGCCGATTTTGGCTAAACCGAAAACTAGCTTTAGCCTATTTTTTCATTATTAGCCAGGATACTATCCCGCGGTAATCCTTCTTTGTTGTTCCTCCCTTTGTTGGTCTTGCCAACGATGTTGTTTGGCAATATCATGAATCTTGAACCCAAAAATTCTTGGCACATATCGCTCGTTACTTTTGGGTGGAAGCAAATGTGGATAAACCTGAAAGAGCATATGAGGAAATGTAGAGCCATAATATGCACCATCAATGCTGGAATGTCGTGTAGATTTAGGATTGTAAATATCTTCACAACGAGGGCAATACAATTTCACGGACTTAGTGTAAGGCTGATCAGAAAGACCGACAGGTAAAAGTGGTTGGTTGTGACATAAAACGCGCGGACAACGACCAAACTCGGCTTTTTTGTATTTCTCAAGCTGGTGCATATGGTAATCAAATCAGTAATTGGCTTTGGCATATGTGCAATAAGTCATGGGAATATTGTAGAGAGAGCCTATCTCTTGTCAGCTTAATCTGAGCAGAAAATTTCCCACAAAGAAAACTATATCTGAGTATTCCATCTGTTCAAATATCGATGGAAATGCGGCAAGCCGAGTTGTATATCATTATTAAACCTTCAAATAATCATCTACATACCATTTTCGCTAATCCTCGACTTGTGATAATAAACCTCGCGTGAATTAATCCGTATAGATGACGAGCGGATTTCTCAACAGCTTCACGCATCTCATCATCAAGTTCTTCTTCTAAAAATGACAAATAAATGATTAATCAAAGGAAAATTTATAACAATAGTTGATAAATGGTTTATATCACAATATTTGTATTAAACTTAAAAAAAATTTATTCCAAGGGTGCTCTGGAAACAAAACTTGCCCAAAGAATCCGTTATTAAATCAAGAGCCTGAGTATAATGTTGAACTTCTGAATTCAATCCAGTCAGGTTAAATCGGTCAAGTATGTATTCTTCATCAACTTCACAAAAATATTCGTTGCCTTTAGTAGACAAAAACCAATCAATCCAGTATTTATTGTAATCACTATCAGAGCCACTTGTAAGATCATCCACTAAAAAAATCCGGTTCATAAATCAACTTTGATTTTATTGAAAGTCTTGAAAGGTATAAAATTTCATTATCAACACTTACTTTTTATGTCTCCGTTCAAGTCCAAAGTCTGCCCTTGAACGTCGTCAATGTCGTCGTCGTCGTCGTCGTCGATGACGATCGGATTTCGAGCTGAATTATCCAAAGTCTCTTGATTGAAAAGGGGTTGTTCTCGAGTACCTACTTCCCTAGCAGCCGAGGGTGAAGGCGGATTACGAGAGGAATAATCTGGCACTGGAATAGTACTAATTTTGACTGATTTAAAATGAATTTGTGAGCAAAAGCCTTGCGATAGACTCTCCAGGGATAATTTTGAGGATATATATGTCAAAACCTATATGCAGCATAACGATAAAAGATGATTGAATCACGTGAATTATCAAATACCGGAATTCCTTGACGTAAGGTTTAATTTAATGGATTAAGACGATTGATTATTTTTATACCCGATGTTAAAAAAAAATATATATTTATATCAAGCACGAAGTACCTATGAATTTATAAATTTATTTGAATTCTTGACGCAACCCACCCACCCTATTCATCAAACATATATGTATACAAACTATTAAAGTCGACTTGGGGTTTGTGGTTTTGTCATATACTTTTTCTAGTACAGTACATAGTTTTTTTTGGTTTTATCCAGAAAATTATTTTATAAAGTTATAAATCAACGTGGTCAACTACACCTTTAAAGCTCTGAACCACTTTTTGTTTTGTTATTCTAAGTTCTTCGTTGCCCTTATTCAAATCGATACTAACGTATATGTAATAAAGAAAGACAGCAAGACAAATATAGAATCCAAATTTGACCATTCCAACTACTGTTCCATATAACCAGCGAAATATCATTCTGGCGATCGAGAATAGGACGTAAAGGAACGCGAAAAGAATTAAGAGTACGAAAAAATCGGACTCTGACGTGAGTTCATTAATTTTAGAGTAGACAATATGCTTGAGTTGGGTAGCATCTAACTCGGAAAAACTTGCAATAGTTTGTGTTAACACATTTTGAAGCAATTCGAAATTCAGAAAGGTTATGTTGAACATTTGTGTTTGATAGATTGAAATGCGATTGTAATAAATCAATAAATCAACTCTAGAAGTGTCATGTATTTTTGTACTGCAGTACTGTTATATATACTTGTCATCAGACCGCATTAGGCCGTCAATCGTTACACGAATTTTTGTGTTTTGATGAATTAATATCATATGGGCATGAACATAGCGGGCTTTAATTCTGATTGGTCAATCACTAAATATATCGTCACATATTACACCATCTTCCCCAGTATCGCCATAAAAATTTTACTGTCACGTGATCGTGCCAAAAATCTTTAAGTTCGTTTAGGTTAGGGTTAGGGTCCGCGCTAAGGTTAGGGTTTGAGGGTTTTTAATAGCAAAATCATTCCGGGAAAACTTTTTGTTAATGCACAGAAGGTGATTTCTTATGCAAATTTTTGAGAAATAACCGTTTCTTGGTTTTTTTTTTGCAAAACGAACGTTTATTTTGA